ACTAAAAGGTATGTGTCTGCTTCTTTCTGATAACTTGTTTTAAGCACTTTCGCCGTGTTTGATGCTGCTAGTGGAAAAGACAGCTGGTGTGTGTGTGTGTGTGTGTGTGTGTGTGTGTGTGTGTGTGTGTGTGTGGTGTTTAGGGGGGGGGGGGGGGTGGACTGGGTAGGGCGGGGGAGGGGGGGGGTCTAAAAGTAGCTCGATCAAGCCCGGTTATCCTGCGAACAGACAGCGCAGCAGCCCGAGAGGGGATATGTGTAACCTTATCCTCGTGTTCATTAATAAAAAACGGAGTTATTATGTTGATTGGGTTTCCAGTGGGGAGCACGAGCTCAGCAGATGTAATCTCGAGAAGAAGAAGAAGAAGAAGAAGAAGAAGGGGGGGAAAAGGTCTGTGGTTACATTATTGGAGCAGCCAGTGGTACATATAGGTAGGCATTTCTCCATAGCTAGCAAAGTGGAAGCCGTCCAGTGTGCATCTGTGTGGCTGTTTTTAAGGAAACTTTACGCACATAAATTGCTCAATAAACTCTCTCCTCCGGCTGTTTGTCTGCATTTGTTCGTCCAAGCTTGGACCCTCCTCCTTCTCCACCTCCTCCTCTGTGAGAAAAGAGACAGAAACACTCCAGACAGTTTTTGTTGTATTGTTGTTTTGTTGGAGGGAAAAAACTTTGATGAACTCATTAAGACTTTATAGGAAACCCGAGACCTAAACGCCTAGCTCGGTCGGCCAACACACACTGTTGGGTTTTTTGTTTTGTTTTTTGGCGGTGTGTGCTCGTGTTGAAAAAACCCAAAACCTCACAATAATTATGGATTCAAACAAAGTGGGAGGAAACTGGCTCATTTGCGATGTGAAAATATGTGGTTCAAGAAGTAATCTCAGATTAATAGATGGTTTAATGACGAATTTTTTTTTGATGAACCATTCTTGTAACTAAACAACATCCAACTTAACTTTATAGATGTCTTGTATGACTATGCCCTGGAAAAGACAATGTCTGTCCTATCTATCTATCTATCTATCTATCTATCTATCTATCTATCTATCTATCTATCTATCTATCTATCTATCTATCTATCTATCTATCTATCTATCTATCTATCATGGGGAGGAAGGAAAAACAGGAGAGAAAGGTGGAGAAAGGGTGGAAGAAAACGAGCTCAGACTATTTGACGGTCTCATATGCCATCTAGTGTACAAAGCTGGGCACAGCAGCGCTGTCAGTGTGCAGCCGCAGGTCTGTTGGTCATTCATGGGTTAAAATGAGGATTTCTTCGCTAAGCTTACAAGAACCTAAGCACATCAGTAAGGATTTCACCATGCTGTATGTTGCTGTTGTATCCTCTAAAGTGCCCACTGCTGCACGCAGTGTGGGAGGGAGTTAACAGCTCTTTTGGGTAGCATAAATCACTCAGCAGGTATTTGAATGCTGGGCTTTCTGTGGCAGTGGCTGGGGTTGGCCTGGCGGCCAGGTATAATCCTCAGTGATGCTCATGTATTAGTAAAACGTGCTCTGATGCTGCATCAGATTGAAAACAGATCTCAGTTAGCAAGCTTCCACATGTGTCAGCCATTACTGCAGACAACACAATTAAGTCTAAATGCCTGTTTGTTTTTTTTCTTTAAGTGCTGCATTGTAGTGCACAAGGGGTCCTATGGTAGCCATTTTGATAATATTTGCTGTACTTTTCCTGCTCTCAAACGGAACATTTGGCTTTGTGTGTTATACTTATTGAGCGTGATAAAACATGTTGCCAGGTAAACCGTATTCTTGAGGAATTTAACAAAGATGGGTACCTACGAGGGAGCAGAGACAGAGGCAGAGAACAAATGTTGCCATGGGGTCGCACATTTCCATTCAAATGTGGTAACCACACTTCAGATCTCCTCTCTTGATGTGTTTTTTTTTCCCCATGCAGTGGTTTATAAGATATCACGCCTGCCGTTAGTAAAGATGAACCCATAAAGTGTGCAGACATGTGCGTGGAGGCTGGGAACGTTACTGTAGTGTGTAATAACACTAGCCACGCTAGTCCTTTCATGCTTTAGGGAAACTTTTCAGCGTCTGTCAGAGGAGGCATTTATCACTTTAATCCCCACCTGGCACAAAGAATAACTGCAAGGGTAAGTTACATATCCCTGCCATACAGCCGTGCTCTCAAAGCAGATGAACAGGTGGTCATCTGGAGCTAAACAGAAGACAGAGTCCATACACTCACCTGCTGCTATTGTTCGGGGTGTTTCACGCTCTAGGCGTGCTGTCATGAATAAAGGCATGTTTGAGCAGCAGTTATTGTGGGCTTTATTTTCCCTCGTTCATGTTATTAGCTCAGTTCTCAGCATGTCATGTTTAGATGGCTGTGCATTCTTTAAACAGTCAGCTCAGAGGAAACTGCACCTTTCTCAAGCACAAGTTGCCACAAAGCTGAGAACTAGAAGCTCCAAAGGAGTGTGTGTGTGTGTGTGTGTGTGTGTGTGTGTGTGGGGGGGGGGGGGGGGGTCTTATTCTTCCATATGTAATCCATCCCTTGCTTTATTATTCATTGCTCATCCTGTTAATGCTCGGGCTGCTTTTTTATTAACTGTGAAATCCACATAAAATCTTCAGACACTGGATGTTGTCACATTTAGCCTCTCACAGATATAAGCCAGAGATCCTCCGTCGGTCCCACAGCAATTAAATGATTCATTGGCTTTATCGCATTTTAACAGGATGTTGATTGAGAGCATAAGCCATATTGATTGTACTGATGGAAACAGGAAATCAGCGAGATAGAAATAAAATCATCTGTTGTTCCCGGTGTGACGATACACGGGGGAATGGCTCTGCAATTGCACACTGTTGAGTGGCATTACCCCCAGCAACCTCTCCCCCCCTCTCCTCCACCCCACCCCTTCTCTCCATTCTCTCCCCTATGGAGACCTGGAAGAGACGTCATCTGTGGTTGTTATGCTGCGAAATGACGCTGGCACTCTCTCCACCCCCTGCTACTGCAATATTACCCCTGTGGTCTGTTACGGAAGATGCAGCACTCTTCGTCTGCACCATTTCCAGCATGAAGTTTGACGCCTAACAGTAATCAGCCCTCTGCCTTCATTTCCCTCTTGTGGAAGTGGAACCATTTGAGCGCGATGCTGATAATAATATCAGCCTAAATGCATCCTACACATAAAGCTCGTGACTGGCCTCGATCCCGTAAAAACCTACACGATTCTCAGTGCTGGGAAGCCTCGCAGATATCATTTCAGATATCATTTCAGATATCATTAACCACAACCTTCACAAAACTGAAGGGTTAATGAGCCATAAATGGAATTTTGTTAACAATATCCGAGTTGACAATTAGCTCTTTATTCTTGGCTTTGTCCCCATTGTAGTTGGTAAGAGGAAAAATACCCACCCCACCACCAGCACCACCTCACTGCAAAACACATAGAAGCCAGCCCCTCCCCATGCCCTCCCTCTAACACGCACACTCACACACTCCGGAGGAGCACGTCACTGAGCTCAGGGAATGAGTGGCTCATTAAGAAGAAGGATGTGATATTCTGAATAGAGACTGTGAGACTCCCAGCACGTCTATTTTTAGACGAGATATCTCTATGGCAGTCACCGTGGTGTCGGTTAATTGCAGCCACAGCCCCAGATACCAATTAAGAATGAAACGAATGCTTTTAAGGTGGGGTTTTGCTCCTCCTTATACTGTAAAGGTCCTTGTGTCCATTCTGTGAGTGGAGGCTGGAGCAGGGGCTCGCTCTCGCCGTGTTTTCCTGTGTCAGGCTTGGACATGCAGAGTGCAGTCAAAGCCTCGGCCGGGCTATTTTTAAATTAGCCCCTGTGGTAAGCAAGATCTAGATTTTTTTTTTTAAATTATGGGTGTTTTAAGATCTATGTCCTTTGGATTCATTGATTTGCTGTGAATCTTAGAGCTTCTCAGAGGTAAGGGACGCACACATGCTCAGGTAATTTTACAATATATATGTACAGTGTTTCAGTTTGGTTTTGCGTGTGCTTTGAGTTGTTCTCCAGAGCCTCGATAGCAGTGCTTTGCACGGCAGGATGTCAAATCATTCTGTCATTCAATTTCCTGTTAATTCATCCCGCAGTGCTCTCGCCTTCCACCTGCCGAAAACAAACAGTGTCCCTCAACAAACCCATAGTTCCCATTCATGACTACAAGGTGTAGTACTGACCAGTTTTTTTTTTGTTTTCTCTTTTTAATAAAGTAATACTGGAGCATCAGTGTTTGCCAGCGCTGACACAAACACACTGACTCTGTTAGGTAGTGCTGTCCACACCGGAGGTTCCCGAAGTGTTAATACCGGTGATTTGTTTGTACGGTAACGTCACGGTCGCGTATTCGTAACGCGGGTTGGGGGGGCGGGCATAAATCCATCCACAAGAATTCAACAACTACAGGATGAAGTGCAAGAATGAAAATCCTCAATTTCCTTACCCAAAAGCAGGGGGCACCTGTGAGCTTTTAGTACAGCCAAATAAAAAGAAAGAAAGAAAAAGAGCCAATTATTCCAACAGAAAGCCATGATTGGACTTTTAACAGACCAGTCAAAAAGCTGTTAGGATGTTTCCACATCTATTTGTGTAATCTTATCTTTTGTAATAAGCAGCCGCTTTGATGCTCAGCACAGCTTTTGTGCATTGCTGCCAACAAATAGAGATCTAAGCCAGACCTCACATAGGAACAGAATGATTACAGTTTGCAAACAATTTGAAAACACCGATGACACAGTGCCAATATCAGTTTAATAAAAACATGTTATGATTATTCCGAAGCTACTGGCTCCAGTTTTTTGGCTTGCAAAACAAAGAGTGGAGGGTGGAAATAGGAGGAGAGGCTTACATGGTGCATTATGGATCAAAAATAAGCTAACTTTGTTGAAGATGCTCTTTGACTGACCATCTCGTTCTCTCGCCCTCCCCCAACCCTCCTCTCTCCTCTTGTTTTCTTTCTGTGTCTCTCTCCCGTCCCTCCAGTTCCACCAGGTTAGAAGAGTGATGACCATCCTGTTCCTTACTATGGTTATTTCATACTTCAGTTGCATGAGAGCTGCGCCCCTGAGAGATGCCCCGGGCATGCGGGGCCATCGGACGGAAGGCTACTTGGGCGCTGCTGCAACGGCCGAAAGAGGCCACGGGACTCCCCAGAGCGGTGGAGGCCCAGGCCAGCGTGGGGAACTGCCCTCGCTCACAGACACGTTTGAGCAAGTGATAGAGGAGTTGCTGGAGGTGGAGGGCGAGGCGGCGCAGCTGGGACAGGGGGCCGATAAGAGCCAGGGAGGTGGTGGCCCATCCTCTGTGGTCACCACGGAGGCCAAGGATGTCGATCTGTACAACTCACGGGTGATGATCAGCAACCAAGTGCCTTTGGAGCCGCCGTTGCTCTTTCTCCTGGAGGAATACAAAAACTATCTGGATGCCGCTAATATGTCCATGAGGGTGCGGCGACACTCCGATCCCTCACGACGTGGAGAGCTCAGTGTGTGTGACAGTATTAGCCAGTGGGTGACAGCTGTGGATAAAAAGACTGCAATAGACATGTCCGGGCAGCAAGTTACCGTCATGGAAAAGGTCCCTGTCCCCAATGGCCAACTGAAGCAATACTTTTATGAGACCAAATGCAACCCCATGGGGTACACAAAGGAGGGCTGCAGAGGAATAGACAAGCGGCATTATAATTCCCAATGCAGGACAACCCAGTCCTACGTGCGAGCGCTTACCATGGATAGCAAAAAGAAGATTGGCTGGCGGTTTATAAGGATAGACACTTCATGTGTATGCACATTGACCATTAAAAGAGGGAGATAGTGTATAAAATGTATAGATTTTATTGAAGAGTTTAAAAAAGAGAATAAAGAGAAAATATCTATTTGTATATATACATAACAGGGTAAATTATTCCGTCAAATGAAAATTTTATGGACTGCATGTAAAAAAAGATGAAGTTTATACAGTAAAAGTGATACTACAGTCTATTTATTGAACATATTCATGACCTTGTAAACAATTAAAAAAAATCTGATCAGTCATTTGCGCCCAGTTTAAATTACTATATCACATTCCTCAAGACATTGTGATTTGTTTACGTTGCCAAGAATTAGAAAAGGAAGGAAAAAAAATTAACAGGCAAGAAATGAGCGACAAAGAGGGAGACAAAGAGGGAGACAGAGAGGGAGACAAAGAGGGAGACAGAGAGAGAGCGAGGACAGTTCCATCTTCAAAAGCTTGCATGCTGCTTCAATTGTAAATCGATAAATTCTCCACTTACAGAAAAAAAAGGATATGATGCTGACCAAAAAAAATTATTAAAAAAAACATTCCGTTTACATATTCAGCAGAAAACAATTTCCTCTCAAGTAATTTATCTGTTTACTGTTCTAAACTTCTCAAGGTAATGTTGGAATTACATACTATGTCAAGGTGCTGTTGTCAAAGCTTTGCTGTTTATTTTTTTATCCCCACCAGAGGACAAGATATATATATAAAAAATTATATAAATATATATATATATATAAAATTTATTCATTGACATGTTTCTGGGTTAATATTATTCATTTTGTATGTTGTGAAGTTGTTTGCAATATTAAACTGAAATATTTGAAGAAATAAAAATGACTATAGGCAACTGAAAAACAAAATCAATGTCGATAAAGTTTCAACGGTGCATTTTTAGGCAGAGTAAACTTTATTATACGGACAGTCTGCAGGCAAGGAGGGAGGAGGCACATATGCACACATGCATGCGCACAAACCGCCACACGTCTGAAGCATGAAAGAGCAGAAATTCAAATCCTGAGCAACAAGAAGTGATGTTTTAAGAGAAGAAAACGAGACCTTGCTTTGGGTCACTGAAAGATAACAAGTGTTAGAGTACAGAAAGCAGCTCCTGGTGTCATTCAGCTACTTCAGGAAGGAAAAGAAACTGGAGAAGGAGAGAGGAGGTGCCCCTAAACCGCTTCCTGCTCTCCACCAGCACATTTTTTTCAAAACACATTTATGTGCTTTGGATCTTTAGTGTTCATACACAGGTGTTCAGAGCTTTTGCTCCAGCGGCATGTGTGATGTCGCACAATTACGAGACCCTATTAACACAAGAAAAGCGCCTACACGTTCAAGTGCAGACTAGTACAAGTGGGTACACTGCCTGAGCTTGACAGTGATGGATTCAACCACCCATACATTTGTGTACATTAAAAACGTACACCCAGTGTTTTGTTATTAGTGTGCTGTAATCCCAGCTTTAACTCCTCCACAATAGGACAATCACCACTGATTTTTTCTAGCTCTAAAGTCACTGCGATCAGAAGGAGAAGCCGATCTCCATAACTGGTTTGGCACCTGGGTTAAAAGAATCAACTTTCTCCCTCAGGCAGCGAATAACTCATTGCAATGCATGCCTGCCAAGTCTGGATTCCATAGCTTAAGGTTTTAGTGGGAATACAATAAAATATGTTCAGCGTCTCATCTTCGTTACATGAAACATTTCTAGAACATACTGCAAAAAGATTAAAAACAACAACAAGAAAATGAATATACAAAATTTCTTCAAAACACCAGCGATCCCTTATGAATGAACACAATCACCTCATTTTACCACGCCTCCATCAGCCTGAAGGTAAGTGCGAAGACAGCCAGATCTGAAGATGTTGAAGGAAGGATGGGCCAGCTTCTTCACTGCCCTGCTTGGACCCTTCACAGAAGGCTGATGATGATGCTGTGAGTTAATATCATAAATTAAAAAAAAGATACAGAGGCTTCTGCAACACAAACAGTGGGAAGACGAACAATATCATAAATGATCTGGTCTTCCAGAAAAATCCACCTGAATGACACTATCCCGTCCTCAGCACATAGGACAATGAATCAGCCATTCAACATTTTAGATAAGATGATAAGGATGTGTTTTGTTTATCATGAGCATGAGCCTTAGGCTATTATTTTTTACAAAGATCAAAAAAGTAATCTGCCAATTCAACATTTAATAAAAGAGTGCATAAAGGGAGGCAGGGTGAAGCCCATGGTGTTTTTCGGTGTGACCATAAATCAGGCATATGAGTGAATCCTACAGTATAATGTGGTATTACTTTGCTGTTGCTGAGGAAATAAAAACAAGAAGAAAAAATATTTTAGGAAAACAATGGGTCTACTGTGTTAAGAAAAGAACAAAAGCTGCTGCTCACCAAGTCTTTCCGTGTGTCTGCTTTATGCCACGCCCACATTTGTGATGTCACGTTAGGTATTTTTCATCACCTGTCAAAAGATTTGCGTTCATCGCCCACTGGGGTGTGGTCAGGAGTGAATCATGCTCGAAACTTTCAGGATACAGAGAAGCAGTGCAGCTGCAGTTTTCTGCATTTATGGAGGCTCAAAATGTGATGCAGCTCACCAGTAGGGGGTGGCAGAGAGAGCGCTCATATCAGACGTCAACAAAAAGCCAAATAAAGTTTCCTCTGGCTGGCCCTTGTTATGACAGTACATATTAATGTAATCGTCCTTTGAGCTATGTCTGTGGAGGCTGAGAGAAGCTGTTAAATGGAGAGTTCTCCGCCCCTCAGGTTGGTAAATGGTGATATGGAATCTAGGTTTGGATTCTAGCCAACGAGACCTTCAGTGGGCTATATGCATGGCACAAAAATATCCCTACTCTCATTGTCAGCATCAGCAGTAAACATAATAAAATCAAACCTCTGTGCTTAAAACTAAATATGGCATTACTAATATACAACATTTGAAGCTGCTATCTAAGGTGTACGTTTGGACGAATTAAAGAAAGGACATTTGTACACTAAAGCGAGGTGGAATATTGGTAAAGCTATGTGTCTTATGTATGTATGATATATCATAGTTTTACACGAGTAGTCGTCTAGTAAAAGGATAGGGTAACAAATACACACGCAGTGACTTTAGAATGTGACTGAACATTCCGAGTTCACAGTTTTACGAGGTTTCCCTGAATGCATCACGACACTGGCAGCTAGCCTAGCCGGCTAACTTGGCTAATCTGATTTATCGTCTCAGTTAAGCGCACATAACGCCAGCCAGGATTACCAAATTTAGTTTTCAGTATTTTTCCTTTTAGCTAACTATCTCCCTAACGCCAAACATCCTCCTAGTTCAATAATGGCATCGCTTGGGGAGCCCGTGCGATTGGAAAGAGGTGAAGTTAATTAGCTAGCTAGCTTTAGCTTAAAAATATTTGTTGTGATATGCGGGCGACATAAACCTAGCCTAGCTAGCATTAGCTCATTAAAGCAAGCGGTTTATTTTTTTGTCTGTGTACTCTGTTTTATGGTGGGATAACGATAGAATAGACATCTTGCGGTTAATTCTTGTATGATTATGTATATATAGTCACCCAGCTAAAGCAGCCACAGCTATTACGGCTACATTTTTGTACTTAGTACATTAGCCACCTAGCTAATATTAATGACAACAGACAGTGATTAGTCAATCTGGCTGGTTTGTTCACTGTATCTTACCATAAAAGAAAGAATATTTTAGTTACCCTGGTTGTATCATTATATTCATTTTTGTGACCTGTCTGTAAATAACAAGTTCTGGGTGTGTGTTGCTGAAATGTGCAGAGGAAGCCCAGATTTGTGTGATAGTTTAAACTTACGGGTTACACAAATACACACGTAAACCTTCACGATTAGAAATATTTAATAAAATTACAAATGCTTATGAATTCATTGCTATTAACGTAAGCTGTACATTCACAAAAACAAAATAAACAAAACAAAAACGTGATGCCTGGTGCCTTGAATTTACTTCATGTTACTCTGAGAGTTGCTTTATTATTGCATTATAGCGATTTGTACTAATTGTAGTATGTTCTGGTGACCGTGGGAGTCAAGCTTGTCCGGAGCATATCTATAATCAGAACAAATGTAGTGCAAGTAAATGTGCTCTGACACTGATGTGGGAAACTCTCACTGCCAATGCTAAAATCTACATTTGCAGGCCTCAGTAATGGTTATGTACATGTTCTTGTTGACAGATATCAACCGTGCTATTGAATTGCTTGATAAACTCCAGAGGACAGGGGAAGTGCCTCCCCAGAAGCTGCAGGCACTGCAGAGGGTCCTACAGAGTGAATTCTGTAATGCTGTCAGAGAAGTGAGTCTCTTTCGTCTTGTATCATTCACTTATCAAACACTTAATTAAGAGACATTAGTTCACAGTTTGGAGCTTAACCCTCTGCATCGCAATAGGATTCCCAATAGAATACTCCAGAATTAAGAAAAAGAGTGGAAGTCTGGTAAAAAAGTTAGTTTAAATTTAATGTCCAGCTATATATGACCATTTAAGATTTGTACATTTATGTTTTCAACATCTCTTTATCATTACTTCTTTGTCCTCCTCTTCTTCATCTGGCACATCCACCCCTCCTCTCTGCTCCCTAACCTCCAACTCATTCTCGTTTTCCTCACCTCACGCCTCATCCCCGCAACTGAAATTGAGACTCTAACATAATAAAACATGCATAAACATACTTATTCGTTCCCGATAATATAACTAACTAAATAACTAAAAGTGTACTGCCACTTTGGGACAGCTGATAGCCAGACGGCTATAAGAACAAAAGCTAGTGTATACCAGATAACATTAAGCTAGAGAGTCTGAACAATCACATTTCCCTTTGATAAACATTTTCACATCATATAAGTCCCCTTTTACAAAGTTTTGCAGCCTCCTCGAAATTGATGTGATCGAATGCTGTAAATAGTGGACTGACAACCGACACTGTTTACAGATGTACGTCAGCCATAGTGTGAAATAAAATGTAAAATATTGCAAAATACTTAAATTGCACAGCCATTTCTTTTTCCCCCCAGATTTATTCAAATTTTTAAAGTATACTGTGTCCAAAAGTGTTTGTGACAGTAGTAGAAATATGCTGGCTGCCCACAGCTTTTATGGGTTATAGAAGATTAACCCTTTGGTTTGGTTTGAATTCTTTGTGTTCGCCGGTTGAAATACTGTCCACTAATATCTCCTCAGGTCTATGAGCATGTGTATGAAACGG